AAAGGTAATAAAAAGATAATAAAATAATGTTTACGGAGCTTGAAGGAAAACGATTATCACAGAATTATGCTTGCATCCAGACTCTGGTTCATGCAAAAAAAGCATCTTCAGACATATAGGAGGTTAGAAAATATATCATCCACACACTCTAATAAAAAAATTAAATGAGAAAATACTCAAAGAAGAAAGGGGAGGGTGCAGTTTATAAGAAATAGTGGTTAGCAATGAAAACAGTAAAGCTGTCAAGACGGTTTAAGACATTTTTTACACTATGGATGTGAATATAACACAATAGTTAAGAAAAAAGCTTTAATATAATACAAGGGCAAAAAGAAAAGAAGCCAGATGGAATTAAAATCCCAGATTATTTCAACAAAACCTAGGATATGAAAAGGAAGGAGAAATTCAAATATCCTATACAGTTTGTCTTGTTTGGTAGTAGAATATTTTGGACATTGGTTAATTTTTTACATTGACAGAGAAATACAGGAAAAAGCATCCTTGTTAGAAATTTAACGGTAATTCCCAGAAGAAGAAAAATAGGATATAGAGCTCCTAAACCATTAGAGGAGGAAAAAATAAAGGATGTATGGAAACGTGACATATTCTGTAAAACACAAGAAAAGAATGAGGAAGTATTCTGAATACCAAGAAGGCTTACAAAATTCAAAGGCAGGATATGATCTGAGCTGTCTAACATATCAGCCATGAACAACATGCAGCTATTAAATTCTAATAGTTTTGAATTAAAATTGAATAAAATTTAAAATTCAGTGCCTCAGTCACACTAGTCACATTTCAAGTGGCCAGTGATCTCTGTATCAGACATTTTCATCATAGCAGAACAGTCTAGCAGACAACACTCACAGCCAGCGCAAAATACAAGGTAATATGAGTCTACATAAAGTATGATCCTATTTATGTTAAATATACATTTACATACACATATAAATATATGAAGGGGTACCCAGGTGGCTCAGTGGTAAAGAATCCACCTGCCAATGCAGGAGACACAGGGTACTCGGATTCAACCCCTGGGTCAGGGAGATCCCCTGGAGGAGGGTGTGGCAACCCACTCCAGTCTTCTTGCCTGGAGAATCCCATAGACAGAGGCGCCTGGTGGGTTACAATACATAGGGTCACAAAGAGTCAGACATGACTGAGCACACACGCACATAAACATATAAACACTGACTGAGTCAGTGAAAAAAAATAACAAAAACATCTCTGTAATGTATGATCTTATGCAAATATATGTGCGCATATATCTGTATATACATACAAATAAGTATAAATTACACTGTTAATAGTGGTATCTCTTAAGTAAGATGACTAAGGGGCTTTCTTTCTCCATATATCTTACTGTTTGTATTTTCATTAATCATATTACTATTACAATAAGTAAAAGTCATTAACATATTTTCAGTGGGAGTAACCATAGACCAACCAACCAATCTCTTTCTTGAACTTGGTTCCAAACCCTGGGTTAACCCAGTAACTGACTTTAACTCGTATATATCTACCATGTACACTTGGGTTAATAAATAATTTCCAGATGGCACAGCATGTGTCCAATATACTTAGAGACTTGCTAGAGTTTGACCAAGCCCTGCAAGAAGTTTGTTCTGAGCCCCAGAGTGATAGCACCCTTTCAGATGGAAACCTTTGATCATTTTAAATGTTATTTCCCAAACCAGGAGGTTGCTTGAGTAAAACTTGTTAGCTCACCTTTCCATTCAGATTTAGATTTAGATTAGATGTATGTGTGTGTTGATTCTCTTCGATTGTGTCCAACTCTTTGCTACTCCACAGACTGCAGCCCACTAGGTTCCTCTGCCCATGGAATTTTCCAGGCAAGAATACTAGAGTGGCTTGCCATGCCCTCTGCCAGGGGATCTTCCTGACCCAGGGATCAAAGCTGTCTCTCGTGTCTCCTGCATTGGCAGGCGGGTTCTTTACCACTAGCACCATGGATAACAGATCACATTTCAGAAAGAGCAGTTTTGAATTATCCCTTAAGTTTTCCATGACAAGAAAAATATCTTGAGCATTCTGGTAATTTTCTGCATCTTCCCACAGACCCTACAGTTGACTGAAGAGAAGATCAACAAAGTCAGAACTAATGACACGGTGCACAGAGTAGCTTCCAATATCCGCACCCCCCCCCTCTTAAATTGGAGGTAAGAGAAGAGAGCTTAGGGTCTCTGTTAAAAGAATTTCCAAGTTTTAAACTTTCCCAAATGCCAGATCTTTAACTTTTTTTTTAAGAAAAACAATATATTTTAAATGTCTGGGAATAACCCTCAAATACCAAAACTATTTCAGATCTACCCTAGGGGATAGTAAAGTCATTTATCTGCCAACAAAGACATCTTCATATATGCTTACTTTATTCCCTATGTAAATATTCTTGATAACTATTCACCACAGTGAATAATGAGGGGAAAGTTCTCTCTGAGTGAAAAGGGGATGAGACACATCAATTTGTTCAGGAAATATGCACTTTGAAAGTTAGTGTTGGTAAAGTAAGGAGAGATTTGGTTCTCCTGCCAACTTAAATGCTAATTTAAAAGAATCCACCTGCAACGCAGGAGTCATGGGTTTGATCCCTGGTTTGGGAACATCCCCTGGAGGAAGAAATGGCAACCCACTCCAGTATTCTTGCCTGGAAAATCCCATGGACAGAGGAGCCTGGTGGGCTACAGTCCATTAAGTTCCACAAAGTTGAACAAGACTGAACACACCTGCACACTTTTCTCCTGGGGCTCTAGTTTTAATATGTGTAAGACAATAAGTAAACACATTATACTCAATGGTAGATGTAAATTAATTCTTTCAGGCCACAAGTGTACTATTTAGTGAATGACTGCTCTGTGTACTGACCCATACCTAGTGGCTCAAAGTGATCATTCACCTTTAAAATATCCATTCCTTCAAAGCCTCATTATTTGTCACCTGATTTCAACTGGTGGAGAACGAAGAGGCCAGGTGTAGAAAAGAGGTGTCTTTCAAATTTTAACATTTGTAAACTTGAGCTACTTAAGAAAAAAAAAATCTAGGTTTCCACTGAGCCATATCATCAGTACCTAAGCCAAATAAAACACAATTACTCCCCCAAATTTGGCACACGCCATCTGAATTCAAATCCAAAAAAGTGGTCCAACTAGCACAGCCACTTGGATTTTTACTAATCTCCTTGTATTTTAATAGACTACAATAAACCCATTACAACAATTTCTTCCTTCTACAAGCTTAAATCATGTTATCTGTTCTTGGGTAAAATATTTCAGTCCATTGAGCAGCTCTAATTTTGAGTAACTGTGCTAACATATAATTAATGTGCTGATGCACTAAACTGAAAACCTCAGAAGGCATGGAGATGCTTCTGGGTGTGAACATGGGAACTGTGCACAGCCTCCTGCAAGGTTCCTGCAGGCAGCGTCCCCATCACCGGCTACACAGGTGAGTAATTTTCTGTACCATGGGACATTCTTGACTATACAAGCAAAGAAGTACATAATCAAACCTTCAAAAGGATGAAGAACAACAAACAGACATTACAGGGGAGAAGACAGACTGTTAAGGATCTTGCTAGAAAGGCAGGTGCTAAAGTTTGGGGGGTAACTCAGCACATTTGCATCTGGGCCCATTTCTGGCACTAGTGCCATTGTTTCAATAACATATCTATATTTAGCTATCTATCATAGACCAATTTCTATCGCTGCATAAACAGAACTGGAGCTCAGATGTCTGCAGAATTTCCTTTCCTCTCTTTAAAAAAAAAAATTCAGACTAGAATTCTAACATTCTGTACTTGCAGCTGCCACTTAAAAATATTCATGCCAATGAAAGATACATTTAGTCAGCTTTTCTCTTTCTTGATCTCTTTTAATATTTCATAACACTTTAAAACTTAAAGTTCCTGTCTTAAATAAATCTCCAAGCAGACGTTAAATAGAATGTAAATACTCCACACTTTAAATCATCAATCATTTAAAGAATCCTCTCCATGAACTGAATAAATAAGCCATCTGTGACTAAGGCCTCCCTATCATGTTTTTAAGCTGACCCACTTCTTCGCCAGTCACCACGGTTTGCAAAATCTCACTTCTAAAGGGATGAGTGCTGGGCGCCAGAGCACAGTTCGAATCCAACAGGGTAATAGGGTAATTAATGTAAACACAAGTTGGGATTTAAAATGATCCCCCCTACCTATAAAAACAGAACTTCAATATCCCCCTTCACCGGGAGGAATCTTCCCACCCAAGGGAGAGCAAATTAAGTCTGCAGCGAGGGAGAATGGGAGCCAGTGAAAGGAAGAAGAAACCTGATCAGGTGTTAAAACGCGTGTCTTTGGACATCAAACAGCAAACGATCTGGTCGTCTCGGCGGGAGCGACCCCCCAGGATTGAGATGAAATTTGGGTTGGGACCGCTCCAGAGATGCGGACTCGCTCGGCGGCGGCGGACCTGCGCTACCCCAGGAACCCGGCCGGGGCCCCCGGCGCCCTCTGCCCCAGTCCGCGAGGGGCAGGGCAGCCAGGGCAGCGCAACTTTCCGCAGCTCCCCCGCCAGCGCCGCGGAAACCAGTAGGGGCAAATCTCAAACTGCTCCCCGCCATCGGAGGCTCATTCTCCCGGGGGTGGTGGCGGCTGGGGGAGGGGTGGGAGGGTCTGGGAGGACTTGGGAGGAGGGTGACAAGGAGAGGAGAGAGGAGAACCACTTCCCACCGGCCGGGCCGCCACAAAGGGAAGGGCGTCGCGTTCCCCTCGATGCCACCGAGTCACACGCCGGCTGGGATGCGGACACGCGAGGCCAGAGGGTGACAGCGGCGTGGCTGGTCCTGGAGCCCCTTCGCCCACCCGCGGCCTCGCCCCCGCCGCCCAGCTCCCCTCGCGAGCCGCACCCCCGGACCTCCAGCCGCCCAGGAGGCGCGCGAAAGCCACGCGGGCGCCCGCCCGCCCCGGAGCCGGCGTCCGCGCGGAGCCCGGGCGCGCCTACCCTTTGGCGTGCTCCGTCTCTTCCTCATTGTCCCCGTCGATCCCGCACGTGTCCTGGTCGTCCAGCTCTAGGCTCTGCTGGCTGGCCGCGGACTCGCTGTCCTCCGCCATCTCTCCGGCGCGGGCTGGGAGGCGGCGCTCAAGGCCGTGAGCGCGGGGGGCGGGCGCGGCGAAGGCGACAGCTGGAGAAGCTCCCTCTAGCGCAGCTCGCCGTCTCCTCCCGGCGCGCCCGCCCACTCTGCCCCGCCTCACCTTCGTTGCGCCCCGCCTTACCTCGTTGCGCCCCGCCTCGCCCCGCCTCGCCCCGCCCAGCCCAGCCTCGCCCCGCCCCACCCAGCCTCGCTCCGCCCAGCCCCTCTTTGCCCGCTTTAGGGGCGGTGCGCGCGCCCCCGCCGTCCGGGGTGTGGGGCGCGCGGGACAGCGACACGTGCTGTGTGCAGGGGCGTAGCCCTGGAACACGCCTCAACCCGCTGACCCCAAATTCTGAGTCTTGGTTTTTGGAGGATAGACAACGCGATTGTACATCTGTTCATATTAAGAAGAGCTTTCAACTCTGCAGGAAATTCATACTTAGGGGTAGGCCGTGCTGAGGCCACTGATTTTCAGAACCCAAACCCATCCCCCAACCCCAACCAGGTACACTTTGTAAAGATTTCATTTCATACGTCTCTGTCTGTCCAGTGTACTATAAAGTCAAAGTCTAAACAGAGTGCTTCCAGCATTCCCACCTGTCCATTCCAACTGGACTCGCGGCCCTAAAACTCTTGACAGAGGACAGTGTAGAGCTGCCCCTTTTTTTGCTGGACCGCTTAGCCCACAACAGCCATTTTGGGGGAAATGGGGCTTGAAGAGTGTCAGGGCCGCCATTCTGGCATCCTCAAGTGAAGGTTATGACCTAAACCTCCAAGCACAAGTGGGTGACCTTCTAGGCTGAAATGGTTCCGTGTCTCTCCCGGTGAAAGCAGGAGGGTAAGGAGGCACTCCATGGATTGCCAAATAAAAGGTACATGAAGTCCAAACTCTTGTTTGCTCTTGCACTCTGTACACCCCCGGTCCTTCCCTTCGTTCTCCTTTCATGGACAGAGTTCAGGGTCCCACTAGGTTCTAGGAAGCCTGCATGGTTTTACAAAGGCAATGGAAAGATAGTTAAGAGAAATGCCCAGTGAGGGAAAAGAGACTTTAAGAAGCTACCTGTAATTTTTGGTGTGGGTCCCTTTTTTTTTACAAAAGGTATTGAGAGCATTTTGTGGCTTCTTTGTTTTCCCCACAAGCAAGACCATGCCCTTAAAATAATAGAAGTACCTAAAAACAAAAATAGAGCGATTTCAAACTTCACCAGACTTTTATGACTGCCTGAGGTTGAGCCTGCAAAGGTTCTGAAAGGAGTGGAAAATGGGGCCAGATCACGAAGGAAATACAGGCTTTCTTTCACAATTGCAACGATTTCTGAGACCAAAAGTCACATGTGAGCTCTGGCTTCAAATTTTAAGCAAATACAGATCAGTGAATTTCCTTTGGTTCCTCCCTGTGGATATGAAGGTTGGATAATGGTAGCCTGGTTGGGTAACCAGCAGAATCCTGACCAAGAGCAAATCAGATCAGTTGCTATAAACTACTGGAAGGGTTCTCTCTCTCTCTTTTTTTTTTTGGAAGGGTTATCTAAAAAAGAGAAATGCAAATCAAAACTACCTCGCACCAGTCAGAAAGAAAACGTCTACAAACAATAAATGCTGGACAGGGTATGGAGAAAAGGGAACTCTCTTGCACTGTTGATGGGAATGTAAATTGATGCCGCCATATAGACAAAAGTATGGAGGTTCCTTAAATAGCGAAAAATAGAACTACCATATGACCCAGCAATCCCACTACTGGACATTTATCCTGAGAAAACCATAATGGAAAGAAACACATTTACCCCAATATTCATTGCAGCCCTATTTACAATAGACAGGACATGGAAGCAACCTAAATGTCCATCAACAGATGAATGGATAAAGATGTCATGCACATACATAATGGAATATTACTCAGCCATAAAAAGGAACAAAATTGGGTCATTTGTAGAGATGTGGATGGACCTAAAGTCTGTCAAAGAGAGTGAAGTAAGCTAGAAAGGCAAAAATATTGTATATTGATGCATATATGTGGAATCTAGAAAAATGGCACAGATGAACCTACTTGCAGGGCATGAAAAGAGACACAGGTGTAGAGAATGGACATGTGAACAGGGATGGGGAGGGTGGGTTGAAATGGGAGTTTAGGATTGATGTATATACACCATGTGTAAAATAGTGGGAACCTGCTCTGTAGCATAGGGAGATCGGCTAGGTGCTCTGTGATAACCTAGAAGGATAGGGGAGGTGGGAGGAGGTCCAAGAAGGAGGAATATATGTATATGTATAGCTGATTCACTTTGTTGTACAATGGAAACTAATGCAACGTTGTGAAACAATTATGCTCCAATTAAAAAAAGACCAAAGGAAACTCGGCAGACACATATTTATCTGAGTTCTTAAGACATGTCGCCTAAGAACCTCTCAAAAAAGAGTAAGAAAACAAATAATTCTGGAGAAATAACATGAGAGTATCAAAAACCAGTTGAACACTGGAAAGCAATGATAAATAGGGAATATGTGTTCCCCGGAATGCAAAGAAGTTGGCACAGATGACTTTTCAGCAGTGGATGGAGGTATTACATAATACGAATGTGTGTCATCATTAATCATTTGAAGCAGGATAGAGTTTGCAGATGACCCTGGCGTTCTTAAATGCTATTGTTATGCATAGAAACAATAGGATTTAACAGTATGCCTGGCATACTGCTGTCCATGGGGTCTCAAAGAGTTGGACACGACGGAGTGATTGAACAAAAACAATGCATAGAAACTCACTATATTTCTAAAAATGATGGCTTCTTTTCCTTATTTTAATCCCAGAGTTTGGGGGACTGGAACCAGATGGCATCCTTAGAACCTCAGATCCAAGATTTCTTTGGGGGAAGAGCCTACTGCACAGTGGTTACTAGTGTGTTAAAAGAGACTCTTGGAAATTTCCTATCCTGCTTGACTCATCTCTTATTATAGATGTAAGATCATAGTTGTATAATTAGTCTTGTTTTATTTAAACTGCTGTAACTTTTTGCTTTAAAAAACTGTGCTATAATATATGCAACATAAAATTTACCATCTTAACTGTTTCTAAGTATACAATTCAGTAGCATTAAGTACATTGACCTTGTGCAAGCCCATCTCCAGAATTTTTACATCTTGCAAAACTGCAACTATAACTATTAAACAACTCCCTCTTCACCCCTCACCCCAGCTCCTGGCAACCACCTATGAATATGACTGCTTTCTATCCCTGTGAATTTGACCAGTCTAGGTTCCTTGTATAAATGGAATTATGCAGTCTTTTTGTGACTAGCTTATTTCCCTTAGGAAAATGCCCTCAAGGTTCATCTGAGTTGTACCATGTATCAGAATTTTCTTCCTTTCTAAGGCTGAATAATATTCTACTGTAAGAATAATATTGCACTATATTGAAAATCATAGGATCCTGAACTTTGAGGTTGATGCTATGATTTGGATGAGATGTTGGGGAGTTTTGTGGGGGGATTGATTCCTGGTCAGGGAACTAAGAACTCACATGCTGCAGAGTAACTAAGCTCTTTTTGCCACCACTACTGAGCCCATGTGCCACAAACTAGAGAGTCCGTGCACCACAGTGAAATATCCTGAGTGCCACGACTAAGACCCGAAGAAGCCAAGTAAAATAAATAAACAAATATTTTTTTAAAAGAAGAAAGATGTGACTAACTGGCCAGAAGGCAGATTGATAAATTCACTGCAAAGGTATGAATTCAAATCTCCATCCTTGTCATTGCAGCTCCTCCCATCAAGAGATGGAATGAATGTCCCCACCGTTTGATTTTAGGATGACTAACAAAATTCAGCAGAAGTGGTGTGGCAACTTTGGCACATAGAATATACCCTTCTGCTTCCTCTATCTCTTTAATTCCAGCAAAAAAAAAATTCTGATGATACAGGGTGTGTATCTAGAATGCATGCATGTTAAGTCACTTCAATTGTGTCCCACTTTGCGACCCCATGGACTGTAGTTGGCCAGGCTCCTCTGTCTCTGGGATTTCCCAGCAAGAACACTGGAGTGGGTTGCCATGCCCTCCTCCAAGGGATCTTCCTGACCCAGGGATTGAACCAGCGTCTCTTACATCTCCTGCATTGGCAGGTGTGTTCTTTACCACTAGTACCACCTGGGAAGCCCCATGTATCTAGCATACATCATCCTTATTAATAAGAGAACTAATAAATTTTGGCCAAAGGGAATGTTAAAGGGATCTAGCTTTGAGAGGGTTTGCATGACCTGCTCCGCCGAGTGGAACGCTTTCCCGCCTGGGCTGTCGCGTTCTCGGTCAGTCCACTAGCTGACCAAGGACACGTATGCAAGCCCCACTGAGATCAACATAACTGCCTAGCTGATCCATAGATGTGTGAGAAACAATCCATGGTTATTGTTTAAAGCCATTAAGTTGTGGAGTGTTTCTTTCTTTTTTTTCCTGCATCAATAACTAATTGATAAGTTACAAGAAAGCAAAGACCCAAAGAAAATCTTAAAGATGGACACATTCTTTATCATCAACTGTGATAACTGTCTATATATCAGGTCTGTCTGAAAAAGACTCCTGCAAAGTTGATAATCTGCACGTTCCACTCTGTGCTCACAAAAACAGTGCCTGTTACTTTGGCATTGTGTTAACTCTTCCTAATAGCTGGTCTGCTTTACACTCAGGTTGACTTGATCTTATTTTTTTTAAAAGTGACTCCATTTCTGGACTTCCCTGGTGGCTCAGTGCTAAAGAATCCACCTGCCAATGCAGAAGACATGGGTTTGACCCCTGGTCTGGGAAGATCCCACATGCTGAGGAGCAACTAAGTCCATGCACCACAACAACTGAAGCCTGAGTGCCCTAGAGCCCGTGCTCTGCGATAAGAGAAGCCATCACAAGGAGAATCCCACGCACCACATAAAGAGTAGCCCCTACTCTGCAACTAGAGAAAACCTGCACAGCAACAAAGACCCAGCACAGCCCTAAG